GGGAGAGGGAGAGGGAGAGAGAGAGAGAGAGAGAGAGAGAGAGATAGAGAGAGAGATAGATCATCTCAATCTAGGGTGAAATTGGACTGTGCTCCAGGTAGAGATGATTCTAGTGTCAACCAACAGTTGTCCTGGTACCTGGGGGTAAGAGGCTCTTTTTGGCTCTGTGGGACAAGTCTTCTCTCTCCTCTCTTGAACACGAGCTACTTACAAGGAGCATAGAACATGACCAAGGTGTGTTTCTTCTTCTTCAGGGTGTCCCGGAAGTTGTCCCCTGCTAGATGCAACACACTTGTCTGCTGTTCTTCCCATGTGGGTTCTGGAGGTGGAGGGGCCTCAGGGCTGTGTAAGTTTGGGAGAAAATCATGAGGAATTATGGACAGGCAGATGTACCCTCCCCTCCACATACACATCAGCCACTCTGGAACACAAATGAAGGAGAAACCACTTTGCATCCCTTCTGGGATTTCATTTTAAAACCTTGGTATAAACACCAATAAATCTGTACCACCCATACAGATGTCTTCCTGTGAGAAGTGACATTTTATGGGGGGAGACCTGACCCCATCTTAGCACAGGCACCTCGCTGGTGTGGGCCATCTTCTCTTTGCCAAGACACAGAATCTCCTCCACCAGGCTCCCCAGTCCTTCCTTCCTGCCTCCTCAGAGCCCCTAAGTGACCTTCCATTATTTTCTGTGAAGCTTGTGTTCTGTCAGAGAGAGTGCCAGCCAAGGAGTGAGGTGAGCCTGGGCTCAAATCCAGCTTACACACTAGATGTATGACTTTAGGAAAGTTACTAAACCCCTCTGAGACCCCATTGGCTTTTCTGTTCATGAGGACAGTGGTACCTGGGATGTTAATGAAGAAGACAGGGAATGTACATAAAGCTCCCACTTGGCTAAGCCTGGAGAGCCTAGATGTATTAACAAACAGCAGGTGTTGAGTGAATGTTCAGGATTTCCTAGTCTCTGCCTGTTCACTGGTCCCCCTACTCTGCCTCACACAAGGATGGAGCCTGCTGTAGTTCATAGCTGGAATGTCCCCAAAGGTCCATGTGTTAAAGGTGTGGTTCTTAGAATGGCACTATTGGTAGGTGGTGGAAACTGAGGTGAGGGTCTAGAGGGAGGTCTGAGGTCACTGCCAACTAACCCCAGAATGAAATTTCCAAAACTGAACCAAAATAAACCTTTTCTCTTTGTAAGCTGATTATCTTGAGTGTTTGTTACAATAAGGAAAAGCTGACTAACACTGAATTTGACTTAATTTGTTTTGCTTTTTTTGAGATAAGATCTAGTCATGTAGCCTAGGCTAGCCTGGACCTTGTAATCCTCTTGACTCAGCCTTCTGAGTGCTGGAATTACAGGTATACATGACCACAGCTGGCTTCCAGGGTCTTTTATAAGACTTTGCTGCCCTTGCTTCCCCCTTTACAATCCAGTGACTTTCTAGTAGAAGTGTGTCTCAGTAGAGAGGGTCATTCCCAGCCCCTACACTGAACACCCAGCATTCATGTGCATTCATTTCTCTCTGTTCTGGCTGTAGTGTGATGTGACTAACTGCTTCCAGTTCCTGCCATGATCTGCCATACTGATGGACTGTAACTTGGAACTGTAAGCTGAATAGACCCTTTCTCCCTTAAAGTTGCTTTTGTCAGAGTATTTTTATCACATAACAGAAATGAAACTAGGACAGAATCTATATACCAAGGGGAGACTCTGAATAAACCAACCACACCAATATCTTGATCTTTTACTTCCAGTCTCCAGAAAGGTAAAAGAAAAAAAATAAAAAACTTCTGTCACTAAGCCAATTAGATACTCTTATTATGGTGGCTCCAGCAACCTAAGCACAGGCTGAGGATGCTCTGAAAATTCTTTGCCCTAAATCCCAAACCCTGGCAGCCTGGACTGTGGACACTCAAAGACACCCAGCCAGCTATCAGCAAATGGGGTGAAATGAGTTCATCTCTGTGATGAAAAATTTAGTGTTTCCTTCCTACGTTCAAAGGAAGGAAAGAAGGAAATAAAATACAGACAATGAAATCTGGAGCTATGGAGGCTGCACTACAGATAAGGTAACACACTCTCTGGCATTGATAGAACCACATTTGGAAAGGCAACTGATGGCTTGGGACTTGGGGACAGCACAGAAGATGGCTTTAGGTTGAGGAAGTCAAATCTCTTTGTTCCTTGAACCTCAAACCAAGACAGGGGGGATCCATAAAGTTCACTTCACTGACTCAAGGCTAGTCTCCAGGAGACAGCAGTCAGTAGCTGTCTATCAGATGCACTATCAAAGCCAGAAAACTTACTTGTGTATCCACTCAATAAACTTCTTCTTTGTTCTGAGTGCAGGCACTGCATGTTTCTCTCCATTCTTAAAATACTTCAGTGTAGGAAACTCTGAGATGTGAAACCTTTCTGCCAGGGCCTTGTTCACAGTGGCATCGACAGCTGCAAGGACACCAGAGCTCTGGGATGGGGGAAAGGCCAACCATGCATTACAGCCTCAGATGTGGTGCTGGTGGAAAGAGCAGCCCAGGCTCTGGTCCCAACCCTCCCCTAAGCTCTGCCAGAACCTAACTGGGGTGCCTGGATTCATGGGCTCACATACCATAGGGAAAAACTGAACCCTTGAATATGCCTTATTTCTCAGTGATGGGCTAAGCTGAGGCCTCTGAATCTGCCTCAGCAATCTGCTGGGGAGAATAGGGCCTGCTCTCAACTATGGGGATCCAGAGAAAAAGGAGAACAGGCAACAGTCACCTCTACAGCAACAAGAACAAGGCCACATAGGCTTTCTGTCTTACTCTGTTCCTGATAGGGACCCACCTGTCTGACCATGGTCTATTTACTAAGGGACATGGAGGTACTGCAGGTCTCCAGGGACAGGGGGTAGGGGGGCACTTTAGGTCTGGGAGCCAGTCACAATGACTAATCTACTCCTCAGAGAGAATGATGAGGACTCAAGAAAGGAAGCTTACACCAGTTTCTCCATGGAGGACTTCAGCCGCACTTTCAAACTCTGGCTTCATTTTCTTACAGTGTCCACACCCTGTGGGGAGAGAGCGAGAGAAGCTATTCACATGGCATGGAGGTCCTCTGGTATCCCAGGGGTTGCTTCTCTGAGACTGGCTAGTCTCAGTCCCAGAATCCAGGTACCTGGGAGAAAAGAAAGAGTGCTAGCTCAAAGAAAAGAACTTCTGTTTCATCATGGGGATGAGTTGTGGTGCGAGGGCCAGAGGACAACAATGAAATCACTACATAAACAATACATGAACCACACATCCAGCCCTGGTGTCTGGGCATGGAGTAATGCTGTATGTCCTCACATACAGAAGTGATATGAACATCAGTTTACAGGCGAGAAGCTGAGGCACCAAGAGGGTGGATGGCTGCCCAAGACAGAATACAGACACAATCAGAGCTGGGCTGCAAACTCAAGTAATGCAGTGGGAAGCTCCAGCTACAGATGACTTACAACTGCACAAATGCGGCCAGATGTCATGAAGAACAAAATCTGAGACATTAAAAAGAAAACAGGGGCTAGTGAGATGGCTCGGCAGGCAAAAGTGCTTGCTTCCAAGCCTGATGTCTTGAGTTCAATCCGTGGACTTCATATGGTAGGAGAGAACCGATTTCTGTAGGTTGTCCTTTGACCTACACATTCATACAAAACAGGCACTCTGTGCAGGTGACATTAGGGGATCAGAAGACTTATTTTCATTGAAAGATCTTTCTGGCTTTGGATAGAGAAGCTGTGGGTAAGGAGACTGAACTGGCAGCAGGGTGCTCTCAAAGGGATCCTAGTTGCATGGGGACCTGATATAAATGAGGCTCACAGGCTGCTGAGAAGTGACAGCCTTCTTAGGGGTGTGCTAACTGTGTGGGATTCTGGTTGTTAGGAAAAACCAAGACAAAAGGAAAGGAAGATAGAAAGTCATGGGCCACCATTATCAGAGGAGACCTCCCACATCATCCCTTCCCAGAAGCCATCTGGGCCATGGAATGAGCTTTCCTGCCTCCATCTGAGCATTTGTCTAGGATGGAGGTTTCTGTGTCCAAAGATACTTCTGCAAAGTTCAGATCCTGGTGGCACAGTGGCAGAAGAGTCCCATTCCTGCCTTCTTCAGCCCATTATCACCCTCTCCCTGGAGAGAAAGAGCCTCCAGGTCCCTATCCTCACTTCCACCTCATAGGGAGCTGGTAGCTCCATCCTTGTACCCCTGCTCCACACTATATATGCAACTATACACTGCTGGACCCAAGTCCCAGACTGTGACTCTTGCAAAGCAGGGCCTCGAGATTTTCTACCTTGTGCCCCCACATGAAACAAAGTGACCACCATTTAATAGACACACATCAGTTATTGGACAGCAATGAGAAGAGGCCTAACTAATATGAAGAGAAGGGTGACCAGGGGCTTGGGGAGACTGCTACAGGAGGTTGATGAAAGGACACATATCAAATCAGTGAGCAACAGGGACAGAATGGCCCAATCTTCAGCAGTCTTGGTAAGGCAAATGTCCCCAGGCCCCATTCAGCAGTGCAAAGTTCTTCAAGGCAAGAAAGACACTGTCCCAAGAAGTGTCCCCAATGGCTCCTCTGGGACTGAGTTTCAGGACTCCCTGGGGCAGTTTCAGGACTGGGTAAGGGTAATCTGACTTTGCTGAACTGACGAGAGTCCCATCAACTGTAGTGGTGTCAAAGTCATTATTATTTTGAATCATAAAAATATATTTTCCAGAAATGAACATTTAGCATCATTACAAACCATCTGTCTTTTTCTCAAGAATCAGATTACTAAAGAGTTTTGGCAAGCTGGCTATTTGTTTTGCCCACAGAAATATTTGTATCTTCAAATGACAAGCAGATCCCCAGGAGTGACCACAAAAGTCCATTTAGGGGGCTGGAGAGATGGCTCAGCAGTTAAGAGCATTTGTTATTGCTCTTCCAGAGGACCATAGTTCAATTCCCAGCAACCATGTCAGATGGCTCACAACTGCCTGTAATTCCAGCTCCTGGGGGATCCAACACCTCTGCCTTCTGAGGGCACCTACACTCATGCGCACAGGCCCACACACAGACACATACATATACACATAATTAAAAAGAAATGGAAAACATTTTTTAAAAAAACCACAAAAGCCCATTTAGTAGAACGTACCTACATGTAAGAGTATGTAGTGCTAGTTCCATGTCCCTGCACCCCTCCCCCCCGCCCCAGGATGGGAGCCTGCCATCAGCTGGGGATTCCAAGCTAGCCTCTTCCTCCAGATAGCCACCCCAGTCACTGAAGGGAAGAAGCTTTGCAAGGAGGAAGCCATGCAGGAGGCTGGGCCTTGGTCTGTTCCTCTTCTCCTTCCTCCCCACTGACATATTTATCTCCCAATTTATTTTAATTTATCATTTTTATTTTATGTGTGTGAGTGTATTGCCTGCATGTAGGTAAGTGCACCTGTGTTGTGCAATGCCCGCAGAGGACAGACGAGGCCATCGAATCCCCCTGGAACTGGAGTTATGGACAGTTGTTAGCTGCCATGTGGGTGCTGGGATTCAAACCTGGGACTTCTGCACAAGAACAACCAGTGTTCTTAACCGCTGAGCCATCTCTCCAGCCCCCTTATCTCCCAATTTCATGAGTAGTTTCTGAGGGATCCTAGATCCCCTCATTGGGCTCAGAGAACTCAGGTCCCATCCCAGACTAAAAATCAGGGATGAGGGGGGCCTGAAGTGGTCCCTTTCCCATGGGAGGTGGGTAGAGGAAGGAGGACTGCACCACAGGTGTCCACTAAGGTATCCTTCCGTAGTGACCCACACTCCAGGAGCAAGCAAGATAGCCTATGGGAGGTTCTACTGACTTAGCATAAAATATATTTCGATTTTTTAATGTTCAATTCAACTAAAAGAGAGGAAGAAAGCCTTCTGTTTCTTCCTCTCTTTTAGTTGAATTGAAAAGCCTCCTGGGGTTTAAGGTCAGAATGAGGAAGTTCTACAGTGCTCATGGGGACCTCTCAGGGCTAGCTCCAGGCTGTGCGCCCTGCCCTCTGCTCAAAGCGATCACCTCATTCTCTTGTCTCAGGCTGACCGCTTCTCAATGTGGCAGAGTACAGAGCTTGTGTTGCACAAGGAGTCTTGGAGAAAAGGAAGCCCAGAGGTACTCCTGCTGTTGGGGGCTGGGTCCATCACCCAAGGGTCCAGCCGGCCCTGAAGAGAAGAGCAGGGTATGACCTCTGTAGAGTCCTATGCTGGCACTACCGGAAACAAGCTGGCTCAGGGGAGGTGTCTTAAACACTCTGCCTCTTAAACACGATATGAGTGGTGCTGCTGGCTGGACCATGGTCAAGGTGGACAGTGGGACTAGAGGGGAGATCAGGTGATGGAAGACAAAGAAAAGCCAGCTACCTCTACTAACGGAAAACTACTGCTTCTTTCCAAATGTCCTGTTCATGTGGCAGGACCCCTGAACGTAGGGACTTCACCTTGCACCACCTTTATACCTTTATCAGGTTCCTGCCCTTTGATGCGACTACCCTGCTGGTGTGGCAAATGGGCTCTATGCCACCTGCCAGCTTCTATCAGCAGAGGGCCAGAGGCAGGCTTGGAGACTGAGAATTAGCTCACAAGGAAGAGGGGCCACGATAAACCTGCAACCAGCAATGTCTATGCTGGGCATGAAGAAAGACTAGAAACCTCTAGATTCTTCCACCCACATCCATGGCTCTCTCCTATACTTCCAGCCTTGTCTCCCAGGTCTGTCTGAATAAGAAGAGTTTGCTCTCTACACACAGCTTTTTAAAACTGTCTCAGCAGCCCCACAAGACAGGTGACAGAGATTAGTATGTTCACTTTATTGTTAAGAGCTTGTGGTTCTGGGAGACAAGGTACTAAATCCCTCAGGGCCACCAACACCTGCCCTCTTCATCATAGCCCCTTCCCTGATGGATAAGACCTTGCCGTGGACAGAACCCACTTCAGACCATCCTTTGTTGGCCCCATTTTGAGTCTTCTCTCCTAGTTCACTTCAACCCCATCGACTGAGCTATTTTTCTTTTAGTCATAAAATACTTCTTATTCGGGTGTTTCCATGGCATTTAATTTCAGGTTGCCTTATGACTATCATATCGCTATCTCCTAATATTTATGAGCAGCCAGGGTATCTTTTAAAGACATAAATCACATCACATTTCCTTGCTTAAAACTTTCCAAGGCTTTCCATCACAGGTGGTAGATTAAAATCTAAGCTCCTCATCTTAACCAAAAGCCTTATGCCATTTGGCCCCCACCTGCCCTCAGGTCACTTCCTCCCATTCTTTATGCAGCAGTCTCGGACCCTCCTGGCCTCTAACACACACCAAGCTCATTTATACCTCAGGGCCCTTATTTGTGTTTCTGTTCTGCCTGCAATACAATCTTTCCCCCAGTCTAAGTGTAGCTAGTTCTTCTCACTCAGGTTTCTGCTCAAATTTCACCCTTACAAAACCCCTCCATGACTCCCTAATCCAAAAGAGCGTCACCTCACTGTTCTCTTCTAAAAGCCAGCCTTTTCCCAACACAGCCTGGAGCAACCTGCTACCTATACTGTGTCTGTCCCCTCAGCTGGAAAGTAAGGTCATATAGGTAGGAGCCTGTCTGTCTAGTTGATTCTGAGGGCGTGCTCCATATATTTTCTGAATGTGATAACCTCAGGGATGCACTGTTCAAGCTTTATACCTGTGTAGCAAAGTGCTACAGCTAGGATAAGAGTTCCCCAAAGGCCTGCATACTAAAGGCTGGGACCTAGCCCTTGGCATTATTGAGAAGTGGTGGAACTTTTAAGACGTAGGGTCTAGGAGGAGGAGGTTAGATGTCCAGGGCTGTGTCTTCAAAAGGGATAATGGGACTGCAGCCCTTTCCTCTTCCTCTCTTAGTCCTAGCCAGCCATGAGGTGAGCAGCTTCTTTTACCATATACCTCCGCCACCATGTTCTGCCTTGCCACACCTTAGAAGTAATGACACCAGTAGATCATGGCCTGAAATCTGAATTGTAAGCCAAAATAAACCTCTCCTCAGTTT